AATTGCTTGGTACCCTGGGGCTTCGGCCCCACCGTTCGGTTCCTCTCAATAATTTGACAGGGCTTTTAGAAGCCATGCGCTTAACAGGAGGGGCTCTGGATACACTCTTAGCGCTGGGCTCAGGTTCTTCTTTGCCAACACTGCCTCAACGCTTCTCTTGGCCAAGTACACGGACAGCTGCCTCACTGCCCCATTTCAGGTGGGGGCGGTAGAGATCCGCCGGGTGAAACACCACATCCACTCGGTTACCTTTACAGTTGGCGGGCCCTTCTTCTGCGACTGATCCTTTTGTAATGCCTACTTTAAGCGAAATATTTAAAAGTCCTGCTACATCCTGCCTGAATACTGGGCCCCTGGCCCCGCGACAAACGTTGCGCTACCCTTGATCGCGACAGCAGCTTTTTTGGTGGGCGCGACCCCTTGGTGTGAGCTGTGCAAGCCGCAAGAGTATGCCTTTCAGGAATCCTTCTGGTCGGCAGATTTCCACAATGCTCGCCATGTGACTGCCCTTTTTTTTTTCTGAAAGGCATACAGCTGCAAGCACCAACACCCCAGGACTCCATTTTGGTGTCTTCGCTACAGTCTATCTCTGGGACGGGACATAACGGCGGCCCGAAGAGCCGTCCGAGTGCCGGTAAACACGAAAGCGGTGGGGGTGCTGGTTCAGTCCGTTCAGACGGAGGGGGGCCTCGCCTCATCACCTGGTTTGCTTTCATCGCCTTTGGGACTATTCGACAGTGCATCAGGAGGTCAATGACATTTCTGGTCAACCCTTGGTCCCTGCACCACCATGCCTTGACCATCACCTCGGGGAGGAGGCTGCTGCCCAGCCACACACCTTCAGGTGGCTTAGCTTCATGCGGCCTCTCGGTGCTGGAGAAGGGTGCTGGATCGACGCCATTGTAGCGGGACCAGCGGGGCACACGGGCGTCCTCCCCATGGGCTAATGGCTGGACTACATACCATGGCCATCTCAGGAGCCCTGAAGCCCATTCAATCCCTGCTGACAACGGAGGTCTGTCTTAGGCATCGTCACAGGCGAAAGGAAACGTAACTCCCTTCTGGGCGGCTAGGCACAGGTCTTGGAATGCAGCTTTGCGTTCCTTTACTGTCAGCACTGCCTCCCACTTTGCTGGCATAGAGGCCCTGCCTACATGGGCCAACCACTTCTTCACAGCTCTGCGGACATAACCGACTACTCCACAGAGCTTAACTAGAGAACTGTACCTTGTTGGATCCACTTGGTCTATGAGCGTGGCTCCCCACAGCGTCTCCGTTTCCAAGGCCTCAGTTGAGGTCAATTTCATCCCATTTTCTGGGGAGACTGGAGCCCCGCTAACTCCATCTGTGACTATTGGATCTTCACCACCAGGACTGTCAGGGTTTAACAACATCTTGGCTTGAGCTCTGGTGAGGACTACCGAAAAGGCTTTTCTCTGGAGCTTACTCACCATCTCCCTAGCACCAGCTGCCACTTCTGAAGCGGACTTCATGGGCCAATCCTCGACTGGACTAGACAGGAACTTGGGGCCTTTCTGCCACACAGAATTCTCACCCAGCAGTTCAGGAGAGCACCCCCTCGTGACTAGATCAGCGATATTGACCTCGCCTGGTATCCACCACCAGTCAGCTACAGGCCCAGCCTTCTGAATCTCTCCGACTCGGTTCGCAAAGAATGTCTGGAATCCGTAGCTCTCTCTTTGGATGGCTCCCAGCACCGTCTGACTGTCAATGAAGTGGTACCACTTCTCCACGTCCAATCGTCCATGCTTCAATACGTATCCCTTTAGACGTGTGGCAAAGACAGCCCCGCAGGCTTCAGCCTTGACCGCGTCACCTTTCTGGTCGAGGGGGGTTAACTTGGCCTTTGACTCTACCAGCCGGGTGACCACACCATCTGATGTCTCCCATCGCAAGTACAGTACAGCGCCATAGGATTCACAGCTCCCGTCAGAAAACGTGATTCCCCAGGGTTTACCCCTCCAGTCGGAGGGTGTGAGGCTTCTGTGGAACTTGATGCTACTCAGACGAGCGTACTCCATGAACAGTTCAATTGCCTTTCCTCTGAGCTCGTCAGACAGAGGTTCATCCCAGGTGTCTTTAGTAAGCTTGCCAGCTTCCTGGAAGGCTCTTCTTACAAGGATCACTCCTTTCTGTTTCACAGGTGTTGCTAGACCGATCGGGTCATACAGTCCAGCAATCTGGCTCAGTAGAACACGACGAGTCAGTGGGTTTGGTGTCTTTACTTCCACTTCTTCTTCAGTAAGGTCAATCTCTGTTCTCATCTTCTTCTTCCTTCTGGAGAAGTTGATGGAGACCATCACAAAGAGTTTGTCCTCTTGCACGATGTAACCAACCCCCAGGGCTTTGTTATCTTCCTCCCTTAGCTGGTTGGGCAACATCACAGTCACTGGCCTGGACTCTGTCCCGTCCCGCCTCCCACTTTGACCGGACCGGACCCAGGGCTTGAGGTAGAAGCCTCCTGTTTTCAGTATCTTCACCACTCCCTCTAAGATCTTGTCTAGACAGTGTGAGTCATTGTGGGACGTGAGGAGGTCATCGACGTAGGAGTCTTCCTCGATGACTCTTCTTTCCTCCTTCATGTCAGAGAACTGGGGCAACTTCGCAGTCTCTCGCATGGCAACCTGCGCAATGCACCCCGCTGGTTTGTCTCCCATGTTCACCCTCACGACAGCATAATCCTCAATCTCATCTTTCGGTGAGTCTCTCCATAGGAACCGATGCACATGGACCTCTTGTTCCTCCAGCCAAACCGAATTATACATCTTGGTGATGTCTCCGATGGCTGCATGTTCTCCTTCTCGGAATCTGAGGAGCACCGCTCTGATAGGATTTAGGACGTCTGGGCCTTTGAGCAAAATGCTATTCATGCTCACCCCTCTGAACTCCTGACTGCTATTCCAGACGAGGCGCACCGGCGTAGTCACTGAGTGGGGGTTTGGTGCGGTTAGGTGGCTCACCCACCACACGGCACCATTCCAGTTGTCCATCACGTCCTTAGTGAGCTTAACAGCAGCTCCCCTCCCCACCATCTCGTGGACTTGCCTCATGTAAGCTTCTTTCCACAGGGGGTCTTTCACGAGCCGCTTCTCAGCCCTCAGGAACGTTGCTTCCACAGCCTTCCGGTTGTTGGGAAGACAGGCTGGGTTTTCCTTCCAGGGGTACTTCGCATCCCAGTGTGGCTGGTCGCTGTGGGTGTCACTCTCTCTGAAGGTTAGACCTGCCCTTATTATCTCCAGCTCTTTCTCGTCAGCCAGGGACATCTCCTTTCCTCCCGGTGAGCACTTTCCACAGCGACACCCTCCACAGGTAGGGTCACAGGCAGCACCGATGCTATCCCATTTCAGCCACTCAAGGACCTCTTTATTGCACGCAGCTGTCGTTCGGACTTTCACACTGCTTTCTTTTTCCAAATGGCTTCCTGGCCTTCCCATTAAGTGTTCTTCAACTTTGGCGGCTACCGTCTTCATGGAGTGTGCAAAGTGCGTCTTCGAGAGCCTTGTGGTCACCTCCACTTCTTCGAAGAGGTCTGGATGCACACCACTCACAGTCTTGCCTAGAGGACCGTCCCACATCACCAGGTCGCCGACCCTTTGCAGTCTTTGTGGAGCTAATCGGCCTTCTCGAGTACTGATCAACAGATCGATCTTCTCTGGGCGGGCCAGTTCTCCCGGCTTAGCTTCAGGGAAAAACTGCTCCAGCCGCTCTGAACTCACCACTCGATCTACTTTAGCGATGTCTTCCATCCCGTAGCAGATCATCTCGTGGAACTTCAGGGTTCCTCGTGAGGTCCACACTTTTATCGTCACGAGATACCTTTTTGTATCAACTCTCACCTTCATCGTGCCAACACCATACACAACAAGGGAGATTGGTTCACCGGTCAGTCCGAGTCTTTCTGCAGCTTGGTGCGTAATGTAATTAGTGTCAGAAGCGAGATCGATCAAGGCTCCAAGGCCGTCTCCTCTCTTTGTTGTGACAGGTAGGAGCATCATGAGTACCGGATGTTCTTTTAAGCCACTCTGTTCTATCAGACCCTTGTCAGAACACACATTCGACGTTGCCTTGTTAGTACAGGCTCTGCGGACAGCCTCCAACTGGTTGGGAGTCAGTCCCAATTGGGCGAACACAGCCTCTTGCTCCTCTGTCGGACCACGAGGTCCCCTCTTTTCCTCTGCTTTATTTTCCCTCTTAGCAGCATCCTTCTTTGTTGGTGCCTTAGGGCAGAGGAAATAGTGGTGGTCCACCGGAGTGTCGCCTTTCTTACACTCATCCTTACGACAGAGGAACTTTGGAGTGCAGGTGACGTCGACCCCGTGAACATCCAGGCACTTTGTACATGCTTTTGCCTTTTTCACCTGGGCTTTCTTCTCCGACAGACTAGCCTTCCTGAAAGTTTTGCAGCGAAACAGTTTACCTCCATGTTCTTCATCGCCACACACAGCACATGGTAACAGCTTGGAGTCTCTTTTGACTTCACATTCTGTAGTCTTAGTGAATGACTTCTTTTCTCTCCATCTGTCACCTGGTTTCTCCCGGTAGCTTGGTCTCTCAGGAGCATTAGCAGGCCATGGCTTGCTGGGCAGCAACTGCTCCAACCTCACAAGCAACGACTTTTGGTCTTCCAGGAACAGCAAGAGCCTGTTGAAACGGTTTCCTGGGTGGACGTTGTTAATAGGGTTTCTCACACACATGAGCCACTCTCTTTTCATGACATCAGGGAGTTTACTCTCTAAAGACCGAATCACCAGCTGATTTTGTATAGCGTCTGCACACCCCAGGTCTGTGAGGTCTAATGCTGCCCTCTCCACTGCTAGAATCAACTCTAACGTCTCTCGTGGCTGGTGGTTCTTTACAGCAGGTCGTGATTGTAGCTCCAACACGATCTCTTCTGCCGTTTGTGCTTTATCACCATAACGGTTCTCTAATTCCCTGAAGATATCGTTTGCATCTCTGCAACGCAACA